GACATCCAACCATGTAGCAACACAAAGGTTTTAATACTGACAATACCCCTCAGGAAATAGTCTGCACTACAACACGGGTTAAAGCTCTGAATGAAGGGTTTAAAGAATCTGATGAAGTATAACTCAAAAAGGATCAGAGGCTAGAAAACAAAAGGACTAAAATATACACAAGATGCTGGTTTATTGAGAGAAAATCAAGTAATATCCTCTTTTAAAATTTTAAAAGTGTCTCAAAGTTTTAAGTGATTTTGGTTCACTGGTTAATCTCTGGGATACAATTTCTGTCTCACGTTATGTTTTTTTTTAACCTCACAGCAGCTTCTCTCTGCTTCAGAGGGGAAATGAAGAAAATGAACTAAAAGTGTGGAAGAACTCCTAAAAGGAAGTGAGTGAGTTTAGCTGTGCACAACACATAACCCCAAACCTTTCTGAGGAAACATTTAAGTGCACCTGCTGAAGTTATTTGGGAGATACTGGGTAGAGCTGTTTTTGACAGGTTGTGAGGTCAGTGAAGTGCACTATAATCGGCCACAAGATGGCGCCATATCCCCACCAAATTCTGTAAGTTTGCTTTGGAAGCCACAAATACAAACGTGAAAACAGGATGAGAGGCACTTAAAACTGAACGTTTACACAACGAAGAACAGAAAAACTCCAGAAAGGACAAACTGGGGAAGTCGCTGTTAGAAATACAAACATGGTGGGTCGAGACCTCTCTTCTGACTCTGAATGAATGTGATGGTTAACATGTAAATGTATGCTTGATGTTGACTTTACACCCCACGATTAGAGCCGTCTCTGTGTGAACACATTCTGCAGCGAAGCTGAAGCCAAAACCAAACCAACGCAGTGCCCAAAACTGCAATTCCTTTAATGACCACTGGAGGCTTGCTCCAAAAGTGAGTCAATCTCCATAAAACTCCCATGTTAAAATGACCAGCTTAAAGCAAAAATAAACATAGTTTTGGTCTTTTTAGCCACTTTCCTACTTTATAACAATTTTGTTTGTGTAACTCCCCCATTTAAACATTATTAAAGTTAAACATATAATTATTATCAGGTCCGTGGCCTCTTTTACTGACAGATATCTGGCAGGCTTCATCTCCGGAAACTGGAGACATTGATTGGTGTCTGGTTAAATGCATACAGACTATCTGTGCTCCAGTTTTCACAACTAGTTAAATTCTAGTACTTCATCTGTATGTTACTTAGCAGACACAGATAACTGCTAATTAAAGCAAATGTTAGCTAAAAAATTAGCACTCCACCCTCTCATCCAAATATGGTCACTTCTGGTCCAAAAAATAAAAAACAAAACAAAAAAAAACCTTAAAAGAACAAAACAAAATGAAAAACAAAAAACAAGCAAAAGAACAAGATGGCTTTATGATGGGACTTCAAAAACCAATGAGTGACATCATAGATGCTACATCCATCTTTTAATACAGTCTATGTGCACTGCTATATATATATTTTTGTTTTCAAAAAGAATCAGATGTTAATACTGATTACACTACAGCCTCACTCCTACTGCTCTAAATACTTCAAATACCTTATAAAAAGGAGGTTGGCTTCCCTTTGTGGGCCTGATTTGACTGACTTGATTGACAAGCTGGAGAAAAAGATGAAAGTACAAATTCTTTTCTATGAC